AAAATAAACTTTCCCTGGTCCCCACATAAATCTGAAAAAAGAACATGGGATTCTTGTTCAATGGAAACCGAAATCCCATTGACCAACTTTCCCCCCTCTCAAAATCTGAAAAAAGAATGCCCCCTTAATCTTTCCTTCAATGAAATAGCTTCGTCTTCTCCGGGATCAACCAACATTGGAGGTGGAGGAAATCTCTATGTTCCTCTCTTCTAGGTAGGGCAACACCAATTGCTCATCTCATTGTCCATCAAGACCAACTTAAAATTTTGTTTTCCATCCTTGAAGATCAACTTGGGCGCTTCGACCACCACTTTGACGACAAAAACCTCCCCTATGACTTCCATTGAGATTGATTTAGGAATATTAGAGGAAATAGGTGCTCAAATCACCAAAACGAAGTGACTTGAGGCTTAGCTAGCTCACGTTTTCAATGTCCACTCCTATAAAGCTACTCAAAACATCTCTCATCTATCTAAAAATCTCCCAAGACCATTGTTAGCACCCAATTTTTGCTCGGTTCAATGCATGAACCTTCAATTTACACCAAATTCTCGATTAGACCATTTTGATCCTTCCGAAACACCTAAACACCCAAGAAACCCAAATTTCACCCTGAACGCCCTTAGATCCAATGTTAATCATGTCTGATACCAATATGATGGTTCTCGATCAACCCTCGTTTACACCTCAAACATTAGATCAAACACAACTAACCCAAAACCTTCTAAAATACCTACCCATAAGAACTCAACCCAAAATTCCTTTGTTTACCCTTTCATCAAGCAAAGGTTTCATTTCGACCCCTATTGATAGCTTAAAAGACCCACAATCTAGATTCCCTCGATCCAAGCACACCTGAGCCCATCAGGCCATACAATTGAGCCCTAAACACACCAAAACACCTGCCCATAAAGTTTCAACCCAAAATTTCCCTATTTACTCTTCAATCAAACCAAGATTCCGTTTTAAGTCATTCCATTGACCAAAATCCATGCAATCTTGACCTCCTAAACCAATCATACATTACCACCGGGTCCCAGATACACTAAAATACCCACTTGTAAAGTTTCAGCCCAACATACCTTTGTTTGCCCCTTCATGGCACCTAGATTCCATTTCAAGGCTCTAAATTGACCAAACCACTATTCTTCCAGAACTACCCAATCCAGGCCCATTTGGCCCAATCTGACATCACCAATCAACTCACAATGTCGAAGATCTTCACCCCGTCAAACTTCAACCAAAAATACTACTGTTTACTCATTGACCCACACATGCAAAAGCTCCCCTCCAGACCAAAACCCATCTTAATCCTCCTTTTTTTGGCCCAAAAATCTCTACTATTGAACTATAACCCCCAGTTTGACTCCTTACAAAAAATACCCCGGTTTGACTCCTTAGTCCGGTTTTGATAAAATTCTCCAAATTACAAAAATACACCTCGGATTGTATAAAATTACGAAACTACCCCTTAGCCGTAATATAAATTATGACCTAACATTCTAATTCGGGCTAATGGGAAGATATGGACCATTCATTCCCTTGCGAACAAAAACCAGAGAGGAGGATCTGAACTCGGCGGTGATACTCCGATCACTCTCTTCTTCTTCTTCTCCTCCTCCTCACATTTACTCCCCTGTTCTGTATTTGCTGCTGTAACTCGTTGCAGCGGCAGATTGGATCGGAAACCACCTCTACTTCCGACCCTTCTCTCTCCGCTTTCTCATTCATTCTCCCTCTCATTCCCCGAGCACACATTACGACCGGTATTCGCCTGTTCTCTCCCTCTCCTTCTGTCTCTCCCCATGAAATAAATTGAACGACAACCACTGTTCATTGTCTTCAACCACAAAACTAAGAACAGTGGCGACATTCTGTCCCCCGGCCATTCTTGCTCTCTCCTTTTATTCTTTCCTCTTCTTCCTCTCTTTTCCCCTTATTAGCGTCGTTCGCAGAACATTGCTTCTCTATTATCCGTTCACAGAAAAAGTCTCACACTAGTGGAACTGGTTAATTCTTCTTCCGTTTTTTGTGATTTTTTGTCATTTTCTCAGACTTGTCTCTCTCACCATCAACACCAGGTTTTTTTAATATTTCTGCACTCCCTACTTACCACTGAAGGTTTTTTGCGTTCGCCGGACGAATAAATCCGACCGTCGCAGACACCAGTAGAAGTTTTGTTCAAGCCAAGCTACCGGAATCATCTCCCCTTATCGATCTTTGGCGCAATTCCTGGTTACCACCATTGGTAGAGACATCGACTGAAATCCCCCCTGTTGTAATGTTCGGTTTCAAGCCAAAATTACAACCTGGATAAGTCTCGTTTTCACTTATAATCCCTTCTTTACATGTTCGATTGTATTTTCCCCATTCCTCTACTCATTTTTGGGGACGACAGTGAAGCTCAGCTGAGTTGCTCTTTCTAAATTATAGACGACAGTGGCATTGAAAATGAGGTCCCTGCATATGGATTTGGGGAAATGAACGTGTCGGTAGCGTTTTAGGGTGGAAGCCAAAATCGTTTCTGTTTTTTAGCTACTATTTTCTTGCTGAATAACATGGCTATTGATCTCATTCAGTTACCTTTTATCTTCTTTTGATTTTTAAATCTTGTTTGAACGAAGAAGCTAGTGGGTTTTAGATCCCTTAAGTTTATTTTTGCTTAGTTATTTGGCTATTATTTTCCCATATCAGTTCGTAGTGCAAGTTTTTGTTGTGTTGCACAAAATATTGAGTAAGTTTTACTGTGTTCATGATACCTGGTTTATCCGATTGAGTAAATGCGCATGAATTGAACAACCTGATTGATTAACAAGTTACAGAGTAGAGTTGGCCCTTCAATTTGAATATCTATCTAAGCATTCTCTAGTAGGCCGAAGAGGTGAGGGAGTAATCTTTCACCCTTTTGCTTAGGCTCCTACATCTAAAAGGGGATTGGTCTCTAAGAATCGAAACAAACATCCTTTGAGTTGATAGAGGATGTGGGTTTTTGATTTGCATTGAAATTATGAAGGGAATTAGAAAACAAATGAAAGATAAAAAGGGGAAAATGCGATATTAAATAGAATTCTGATTAAAAAAAGAAAATTAAAATAAAAAATAAAAAAGAAACAAATAAAAAAAGGATAGAATTGGGTAAATAAGATAAATAAATTAACAAATAGGGTCCACAAGAAAATAACAAATAATAATAATAATAATAATAATAATAATAATAAACTAATTAATTAATTACTTAATTAAAAAAGTAAAGATAATGAACAAAAAAATAAATAAATAAGTAGAAATAGTTAAGATTTTCTCTTATGTGGCTTTTATAGTTTGATGTCTTTAATGATTATTATCCTATTGGTTAGAATAATTAATTGTTCTTTTTATGCCTATGATCGCATTGAACTTCATGTAGATCCCACCTATTGGATCCGGCCCCTTCTCTCATTAATCCGAGACATACTTTGATTGGTTTAGCCAATGCCTATTAAATAAATCATTTTCTGACGCTCACAACCATGCATGAAGAGAGACTCCAAAGCATCTCGCCCTCCATCTAAGCGCTTCTCTCAATGATGCCCCTGCTTCCAATGTCGAATTCTTCTACTAGTAATGCACCCTCAGTCCGTTCGTTCGTGTCGGGCCATTTTCCAAAACAAAACGCAGAGCCTTCATCTCAGATCCAAAGATTAAAAGGAATCGCTCACCGGCCAGTTGTCTTACAAGTATCTTATGGCCTTTAGATAGCCAGGTCTTGACTTCTGAAACGGGCCGGCCTCGGCCCTTAAAACTCTGCGATCAAACACCGGCGAAGACTGCTTTCCCTCTCTTTCACCCCTCTTGTGGGAATGGGTCCACCATCTTGTTTCGTAGTTGGGCCTTGTCTGGCTCTCTCCATGCATGCCCAACTTGACAGACGTAGGAGAACAATGCAAGTTGGCCACTTGTGTAAATTATTTTGTACTCGCATCTATAAATAAATACCTAATGAAATCACAGATTACCTTTCCGGCTCACGTCGGTACCATTTTACAACTCTAACATTCAAGAGTAGTAGAGCTTTTTATTTTATGTTTGGAAAGTAAGGCAAAGAATATAAATTTCACATTCAGCGAGGAAAAATATTTTACGTGATGTTGATGTAAAAAATTAAAGTCAACTGAGGTCGATCCGGCTAACACACCAACTGAGCCACCTCTCATGGTAGTCATCATTCATCAATACTTATATTTTAAGCAATTGGCAGATAGGATTACGTAATGGCCTTATCAAGAGAAAGTTGCCTTAAAAATATTTCAGACGATTGTTGCAATTTTGTGTAAGTAAATGCGGTATAAAAGTAAAAATATATTGATGGAGTTGAATACGGATTGATTGGTAATTCCTATTATCAGTTTGTGGTTTTGAGATGTTCTTATACACTTCTGTTAGTGATGTTAATTCATCTTGTTTGTCAGTTATCGTGGTTTGGTTACAAAAGTTCTGATTCTTCTAATTCCATCATTTTGTTTTATTCTTTTTGAGAATGTATCTCTGGTTTATATTTAGTCTGATTGACATTTCTTTATACCAATCTCTTGAATGAACGAAACATGTTTGAAACTTTCAAAAAAAAAAAAAACTGTGGACAGTAAGTGTGATTATTGACGTAAATATTTATATTGATTTCATTGAATTTATATTTATATTTATTATGGATGTAAAACTCAACTTAAGTAAAATTATACATGGATTTGCGATGTTTAACCATGCTCTATTCAAACGGGAAGCGAGTTATTTGATGACATAAGTCTGTATTTAGAGCAGAAACAAACGCAGCCTAAAAAATTAAGTCAACACTCATATTATAAGCAACTGGCAGATTAAATTACGTAATGGCATGGCGTTATGTCAAGGAGGAAACATGGTTGGTGACCTGCTCCAGCTGGTTATTGCGTGGTTCCCCTTGTATTTATTCTCAATATAAAGTATCCAATTCTCTCAAAGATTCATGCAGTGTATGAAACAGCTTTCTTAACAAGTATTCCCGATCGAGTACAATCTTCATTTAGCGATGAAGTATCAATCTTACCATTTTTTTCTTCTATTCTTATGCTCATCCCTAAGCTTCTATCCAAATATGACCAAGGGCAGCCATGTCAGCATCACTTCCTTGTTTCATGTTGGCGTCGTTCTTGATTCGAATTCTGTGGTTGGAAGTGCTGTCTGGAGATGCATTGAAAGGGCACTCTTGGACTTTTATGCCATTCATCCAAGCTATGGCTCTAGAATTATACTCCGTGTAAGGGATTGGAAGGGTGATGCCTACTTCAGCGCAGTATCTTTAGGTACATATATATAACCCAGTCTCTCCTCCTTTCACTTTGATTGTTCGCCATATATATATATATATGTAGAGTTTACAAAGTTCCTTTTCCATCCTCACCTCTAATCTCATAGTCGGATTCTTCACTCCTTCAATGAAGGACGAATATTGTACGTGTCTTGGATGAACAAATCAGAGAACCTGTCATGTCAAATTAGTAATCTTTACTATATTCTAAAATGCATTGCCCACGCCAGACTTTTCATATTGTTTCCCAACAGGTTCAGAATTTTGCGTTTTTCTTTTGAAATTTTAAAAAATAAGAAAATAGTCATGCATGGAGTTCCCAAAACTTGTCCACAACCAATTTAGTTAAGAAACTAAGTGTAATATAGACATCTTCCTTGCATAGAACTAATCGTAGATGACTAAATTAAACTGTGTTATTCTCCTAAAACAAAGCCCCAATACTAGGGTAGGCAGTCCAGACTCCGATCCATTTGACCCATTCAATCTGCCCAATCTAGTGATGGGCCAATATGGGTCGAATGACCTATTGAGGTCAAGAGAACAGGGTCAGGGTGGGTTGGGTCAAGGGCCAATGCTCTCTTTCTAAAAGAGAGTTGAGATTTGGAAAAAGGGTTCGAAGCATGCTCATCATCCAGTGAACGAAATTCTGTGGCGACCAAACCATAGAGAACACCGAGAATTAGGGCACAAAGTTCATTTACCAGCAAACGGAACAAGCTATAATCTCTCTCTCTCTCTCTCTCTCTCTCTCTTCTTTTTCCCCTCATGGTCTCCACCTTGACATTCATCTCTGCCCAAGGACCACCGAACACTGAATGGAGCAAAAACGGCGAAGCTCTTCTATTTTTCTTCTCTCTTTGGTGGCTTAAACAGACTAAAATCATGTTCTTTTCTCTGAAATCATGGTTATGCTAACATTCAAAAATCTGTTTAAAATACAACCAAGATTTCGAAACCTATGTTATTTTTCTGCAAAATTTGTTTATTTTTCTTTAAATTTTATATTTTTCTCTGTATTTTTTATATTTTTGTTATTTATTTTGCAACTTCCTGCTTTTCTATAATTTATGGTGTTTCTTTTGCAATTCTTTGTTTTTATACAATTTTTATAATTTCCAAGTGTTTTTTTCCATTTTCAATTTCTCGGTATTTTGTATTTTTCTATAATTTCCTGTGTTTTTTTAATTTCTATTTTTCTTCAATATTCTATTTTCTACAATCCATATACTTTCTTGTATTTTTTGTTATTTATTTCAAATATCCATGTTTCTCTATAATTTTCTGTGCTTTTCATAATTTTGTTGTTTTTCTACAAATTTTGTTTGCTGAAAATTTTTACATTTTTTGTAATTTATTCAATTTTCTATATTTTTAAATTTATGTTATTTATTCGAATAGTATATTTTTATTTATTTTTTATTATTTTTACATTTTATTTTGTAATTTTTAATGTTTTACATGAAATATTTAATATTCTATCATCTTTTGTGTATTTATGTATTTTATATTTGAAAATATTGTTTGAACTTTTTATCTTTTTTCATGTATTTTTAGTTGAAATATATATCTATATCTATATCTATATATATACGGTTTTCTATAATTTTGAACAAAATGGAGTTTTTTACCTTTTTATCTTTTTTAGTTGAAAATCAAAATATATAATTTTAGGTTTTTATTTAATTATAATAAAAAAAGGTTTAATAGGAATCAAGGGTCAAATGGGTGGGTTAGGATTGATACTCAACCCACACCAAAGCCAACCCAACCCACCCATTTGTCATCCATACCCGGTATGGATCAACAAACAGAATTCAACAATTTGAATCCTCAATGGGAAACCTATCTCCATTCAAGATGGAGATTCATTTTGCTCCCCAATAGGGATCGGGTACAGGACAAGGATGGGCAGTTACTTTGAAATTGGAGATGAGGGTGGAGAGTATGATCCCTACCTTGGAAAAGGAATCAGCCCCCCATAAAAATTGCTCCCCACAACATCCCACAGCACATGCCTATCATGTATTGGGAACATCTCCGGATGATGACATCATCATTTCTGGGATCATCATTGGGGGGCTGATTTGGTCTCCCTACCTTGAGTTAGATCCATCGACATTGCTAAATTTCATCATGTCAATATATTCAATTAATAAAAGTTTAGATATGTAATAGTAGTAAAACATTAATAATTAATAGTATATAATACCAACACATAAAATTGCTAAATTTCATTAGATGTTTTAAATTAGCCATTTAATCTGAAATTATTATTCTTATACTACATCTATATTTAAATTCCATTTAAAACAAATAAAATTGAATGAAATCTACTAAAATTAATAAAAACAAATTCATATAAAATTTTTAGCAAAATTTAAAATTCATTTAATTTAATTTAGAATAATAAAAGGTCTACAAAAGTTTATCTAACCATAATAAAAATTAATAACACATTAATAGAAAAATTAACACAAGTTGATTACAATACATAACCCAAAAATAATGCTTTAGTTGGAATCAATTTGGCTTTGCCCAATTGAAAATGTCATAAGGGTCCTTTAACATGAATTTTGTTTAACAAACCCTTGCTGAATTAGATAGGTCAATTTAATTAGTGCAACTTAATTTAATTAGCTATGCCAATGTATTTTATATTAAAATAAAGAACATTTAGATTAATTATACTATACGTGGTTAAGTTAATTGATATATTGATTTAGTTTAGATTATTAGTGATCGGAGATAAACATGGTGTTTGAATGCGAGGGCGCTTTTTGGAACCAATTTTTAAGAAAAAACGTTCATGCTTCCAAGACCCATTTTTCACAAAAAAAAATGCTTTTGCCACGTAGGCAGTGAGCAACACTATGCTGTTTGGTAAGGTGATTTTCATCATTGTTTTTCATATATGTGCCGGCAAGTAAGCACCAGATAGGATACACATCAGTCAACTATTGGGGGAAACGATTCACCGATGTTCATGCATTGGTGGGTTCCCGATTTTCGAGATAGACCCGATTTTTTAATAACCAGCTGAACCAAACAATGAAACACATGGGCGTTTGTTGAACGCCTATGTGAATCCGACGTGGCACAATTTTTTTGAAAAACAGCCACGGTTCCAAACATCCCCAAAAAAATCCTTCATGTTAATAAAGACTTGTCCTATTTTGTTTGTAAATATATTATCCTAAATTAATTATTAATTAATATATAGATTCCATTAGTAAAGTAATCAATTAACTCTTTTAATCCCATCTATCATCATACTCATCATATTAGGTTAATTCGTATAGCACCATCATATATTACCTAAAATTTAAGGGATAGATACTTTCTCAACAAAAAACAAAGAAGGAAACAAAATTAATGCATAAATAAAAACTTCAAGTCTTTGGTCATCTTGTATACAGTCATGGTGAGGCCGAAGAATAAACCACAAAACGGAATTACACTTTGTGCGAGGAACCCAGTAGTTTCACAAACTCGTTCTTTGTTAAGATTTCTAGACCGCTTAATATATTACTTTTTTTTTTTCGATTTTACTGTATTTTGCAAAGAACTTAGGGTAAATTACAAGGACTCCTTGTACTATCAGGTCGGTGACAAAGATCGCCCTGAACATAGCGGTTAGACAAAGACCCTCCTCATTAATGCTCTATTTTAATTTTTTTAAATCTCCAAATTACCAGCTATTTTATTTTATTTTTTTTAAATCTCCAAATGATCAGATATTGTAAATTTTTTAAATATCCATGTTACCCTTTTCTTATTTATTTGAACGGTGAGAAGACATCTCCAACCAAATTACCATGGATACGGGTGACCACTATGACAATTGATTCCCGTAAGTGATGGATACTGGTGACAAAAGGAGTAGGGGATGTTCCAGTTGCAACTACTAGCAGTGGTGGTGGCGTAGGACCATGACTACAAAGGACGTCGGAGAGAGAGAGAGAGGGATTTCAGCGATGATCACTTGACAGTCAGATTTCTTACTACTGGAGATTTTTCACCAAAAAAAGATTAACCGATGGAAGGTGTTTTTGAATCTGTTAAGTTTTAAGAGAAAATGGCAAGAAAAAGAAAATAGAAAAAGTTTAGTGGGATATTTTGGTAATTTAACGCCTTCCATTATCTGACTTAACAGTTGAGGGGTATTTATTACAATATAAGGGTTCAGGGGTCTTTGTCACTAACCCTATGGAAGATTTTTGTAATTTGCCCAAGAACTTATTTTGAGATTAAGGCTCAATTTGGAAAGAGTACAAATTAATTATACAAATATGTAGAGTGAAAAACCTTATATTTTGTATTATTTTTTAGGTATTTATACTGTACATATTTATATTTGTACTATTTCCAAACTGAGCGTAAGGTGCAACTCGGCCCTATAGAAACACATTTCACATTAGATTTGAATCTATCATGGAGATATAAATGCTGCATATCTAGAACTATGTTATTGCACCGAACACTACTACTAGATAGTTAGGCATGGTGAGCAAAATTTACAGACCAAATGAAGGAACCTAATTTCTAACCTCAATGCAGCCATGGATTTAATAGAAGATGTCGGAGTGCAGGCCATTATTGGGCCAGATGATTTCTTGGTCGCCTTGGGAAACAAAGTTCACATACCAATATTTTCCTTCTCTTCATACAATTTTAGCCTCTCACCTTCCCAATTTCCTTACTTTGTGCGAATTGCACAAAATAAAGACTCATCCCACGTCAAAGAAATTGCCGGCATTGTGCAAGCATATCAGCGGAGAGAAGTATCTGTCATTCATGATGACACTGATGAAAGTGAAGTAGTAATACCGTACCTTATTGATGCCCTCCGAGAGATAGGTGCTCAAGTACGCCAAAGAATTATCTTGCCCTATACTGCAGAAACCGAAGTGATCATGGATACCCTGTTCATGCTAGAAGGAACCAAAACAAGAGTCTTCATCGTTCATCTCTGTCATTCTCTTGGCTCCTCTTTTATCTTGCAAGTCAAGGAGGCGGGAATGATGAAACCTGGGTACTTGTGGATTGCTACTAGTGCTGGACTTACTGATCCTACCGTCCATAAGCACTCTACTTTCTGCCGTTCCGGTGAAGGAGTTATAATAGGAGTGAAGCCTAAGTTGCCACCATCTCAGGTCGCTCATATGTTTGAAAATCACCGGAGGAGACAAGTTCAAAAGGAAGACATAGACATGGAGAAAATTAAACTCAACGTATATGCAGCTCTCTGGGCATATAACGCACTATGGGTCATGACAAATGCAGTAGAAAAAGCTGATTTTGGTTCAACCAAGAACTTTTGGTCTACTGCAGATGATTTATCCAAAATGCTTGCCCCCAAATTTGAGATGGTTAATGCGACAGAAAGACAAAATCAAGACAAATCTGGAAATCCAACCCATGGGTCTGTCATTTCACGGCGTTTATTGACCAGCTCAGGAAATGCAACAGAGAACATTTTGCCCAACTCTACTGTACAACCTGAAGTTACATGTAAAAATGCTAGTGATGTTGAAATTTTGAAGATTGCGGTCCCTTATAATACCACGTTTGATAGCTTTGTTAGTGTGAGAAACAGTATGTTCAATGGTTTCTCAATAGAAGTTTTTGACGCTGTTATGAGTAAGCTACACTATTGTTACAAGTATGTGGCATTTGATTTTGGAGACTCTTACAACAGTATGACGGATATGGTATACCATCAGGTAATTACATACTCTTAACCATTGATATAAATTATGTACTACTATCTTGATGCACTGATTTAAATTAGAATTAATCCTCCAACATGATGATTACTAGATGCAAGAGTTTATATGAGAAAATCCCTAGCTCCTCCTCTTAGGTCGATGCTGAAACGTTTCTTCACTCCATCTTTTCCCATATTAGGGTCTCCCGTCTGGTATCTTAGTGAACTGTATATCAACTGGTCCAGTTGATTGATCAGCAAATATCATATCATATAAACTCATCTCACCTCTCTCTCTCTCCCCACTTCCATTATGCTGCTTCCGTCGATTTATTAATGTGTTTACAACACCAAATTGTTTAATTTGTTTCTTCTTGTTGTTTTGTGGAAACGAGAGAGCAGGAATTCGATGGAGCAGTAGGAGACATAACAATTACAGCGCATAGATTGAACATTGTGGACTTCACTCAACCATACACTGGTTCTGGAGTTCGCATGATTGTACCAATACAGCACGAGAGAGATACAGATGGTTTATGGTGGTTTTTCAAGCCATTTACACTGCAACTGTGGTTAACTACCTTTGTTGTCTTCATCTTGAAAGGAGTATTGGTATGGCTCTTTGAGAATGGAAAAAATCCTGAGTTCCAGGGCGAACATCAGTTGGGGAGGGTTCTTTACTTTTCCTTCTCGCTATTTGTTTTTGCACAAAGTAAGTACGAGTCTCTCAATGGACTATGATGAAGCTTTTAAATTGTGGATGATTCTTCTTTAGATATAATACATAAAATGCTTTTATAAACGCTTGGTTTGGACGGAAGCAAATGGTAAGGGAACGGTTGGGAAACGCCTATACAATTCCCTACCTTTGCCTTCGAACCAAATACAGCCTAAAGGTAAACGGTTTCTCTTTTTCTTTTGGGGGGTGGGGGGAGGGAGGTATTGATTCCTATTGATCAAGAAACCCGTGCCTAGGCGTAAATGCATTTACCCAAATAAGTGATTTCCATCTCCAAGTGAATAAATGTTTCCTAGTAAAACACTTACTCGTGTAAGTGCATTTACCCAAAATGGAAGAAAATACAAGAGAAAGGCTTAGTGATTGTCATTTTCCCCATAAAATCAGGGCACAATTAGAATGGGGCCACCTTTCCGAGGGGGGAAAGTTTTTCTGTCCTGAATGACAGGGAGGGGATAGTATCTACATACCTCTAACCTAATTAATGGTAAATTATTAAAATATTCATAGACTTAATATTAGTTACTAAAATATACCCATGCCTATAAAAGGCGACTTTTTCTGATAGTTAAGTATATAAGGTTAATTAAGATTCCTAAAATTCCATTTCTCCCAAATTTACAAAACCCTAGGATCTCATAATCTCATTTTTATAAGTTTATTGTATTTTTAGGTTGTTGAGTGGGGAAAAGTTGGGGGATGAATCTTTGCCCTATCACCAAGAATGGGATGAGGCTGGTATTGGCGTTTTTTCTTACTGGCTAGGGACGGGAAAGGGTGCTTGTCACTTGAGCCCCCAATCTGCTCCATTGTGATCACTATACTCTCTCCCCTCTCTGTCTTTATATAAGAGTATACAATTGTTTTATATTTTAACTTTTAAATAATTAATAATTATTTATACTTATATATTAATTTTAATAACATTTTTTGTAATACAAAAATAACAATAATTAATTTTATTTAGGGTTGTTCATCAAACTAATGAAATTGACTAAACCAACCAACTTGATTCGAGTTGGTTAGTTTTATAGAATTTCCTATTGGCTTCGGTTCAGCAATTTCCCAACTTGACTAGGTCGAGCCAATTTTGGTTTACATTTGTGGACCAATTTGGCCATAGATATATCAATATTTTATATTTTAAATATTACTTTGTAATATGGGAAAGTGAGAAAATTCCCACATTTCTTAGTCTAAAATATTTTATATTGTAAATTTAAATTTTTTTATTTATTTTTAATAATACCTCTATAACTTTTTAAATTTAAATTTAATATTTTAAGTTTAAACCCTTTCAATTGGTTGACCAAACCGAAAACCAACCAAATCGATACCATTCGAGTTGGTTGATTTTCACTAATGGTTAGTCGGTTTTAGGTGACCAACTCCCCAACCTAACCAGGTTAGTTTGGCTAGCCAAGCAACTTCCAATTGAACCGAACTAACACATGAACACTTCTAATTTTAACTAAATTAATAATCCAAATTCTAATAAATAATTATAGCTTTAATGATAGTTTAATCTCCAATAATTATTGAGAATTTATAGCAAAAGTTTCTATAAAATAACAAATCAAAAATAGATCCACACATAATTATTGAAAATATATTTTTCACAAAAAATAGAAGAGAGATGGGCCCAAGTCTAACATGGCAAGGTGAAGTGCTTCAATACCTAAGAAAAATGATAATGAGCCCAAATCTAACATGGAAGGGTGAAGTGCTTCAATACCTAAGAAAAATGATAATGGGCCCAAGTCTCACATAGGAAAGGTGTGGCCCAGGTGACAGATAAGCTTTGCTCTAAGCCATGACATCCATACTAGAAACTATGAGATCAGCAACATAAACTAGAAGAAGAATGATAGAAGAGCCAAAATATTTGATGAAGATAGATGAGTCAATTACAAGTTGAAAAAGCCATGTTCAAGAAGGAAGGACCCCAACTTCTTGTATCAAGTATGAGGGGTCTATTCAAGTCCATATAAAGAATTTTTTATATGACAAATGTGCAATGGTAAAGTTGGGTTGATAAACCCAAGGGGTTGCATCATGTAAATGTCCTTATTAAGCACAACTTATGGGAGGGCATTGTGAACATCAAGCTAATGAAGCACCCAATTGAAAGTGTGCAAAGTAGAGAATGACCCACATTGTTGTAGGTTTAACCATGGGACTAAATTTGTTATTATAGTTAAGCACTTCCATTGGCTGAATCCTTTGGTGGTTAATCAGACATTGAACCAGCCAATCGATTGAAAATACTTAGTTTTAGCATAGTGTAAATTTTCACCCACCCACCCCAATCTGACCGAAAGTACTTAATTTTAGCATAATGTAAATTTTCAAGGACTTGCAAGGCAATTGACGTCGGTATAGTGGAAATAACCAAAGTAAATCTGTTGAATGAATCCGAAAAAGGATATAATAGTGATAACCACAAAATATAAGAGTTAACCTCAGGTGGTCTCCATAGTTTGAGTAGATTAACTCCCATGGTTTAGAAGCTTTAAATGAACTAGGAAAATACAGAAGTCTAGTGCTTGGCTAGTTGACAAGGAAAGCAGGAGAGCTGTTTATTGCCAACAATTGGTAATTTGTTGAAGCTCATATATGATGAACAATGGAAGAAGTTGGATGTCCAAGTCTCTGGTGCCATATATTCACTATACATCACTCACCAAAAAAAGCCACATGTTATGGATGATAATCCTTATTCAACTCTACCTTTAGCTCTGAAAGATGGAACAACCCATTTTAATTGCCCCTTTAGGAGAACCAGTCCTGACTTCTTGTCCTTCATGTAAAAAGTAGAGGGGTGAAACTCGAAATTTTGATATTTCATGGCTAAACCTATTAGCATTGCTAGTGAATTTATAAAAGATAAAATCAGTCTAAATCAGATATTGATTTCTCAGTATTTTAATATTTGATTTTTTTTGGATCAAATCTGCACTGAATTGGACTAGATTTGAAACCCAAAATTAAATGTGGGTATACATGATATAGAATCTACAAATTGTAACTCCTAAAATGGTAGTTCACGCCCAAAATCAGACCTAGATTGGCCTCCCAACCAAAGATGACGTAGTTGAAAAGCTGAGGTCAATCCTACAACACTACCTCAACCGGTTTGCTCTCCAAGTAGTGGAATTCGATGCAGTTGTGTTAACCACTTCTTCTCTAATGTTTTTCTTCAAAAATTAAAAAAAAAAATAATAGTGGAGAATCAGTCCTCTCCAAGGCTGGTTCAAACTAGGGATTTTGGAACAAGGGAGAAAAGAAAGAGAGCAAGAGAGAGTGTAGAGAGTGCATAATTTGACCTCTCCATCTTAACCTTTATTTATAAAGCTCTCTCGTAATGACACTAGGTCTTGATATAAATCATATTTGGATTAGGATCAATCCCTCTAATAGAATGGAGCTCCACCCATTTTCATAGCCATATTCGATCTATATCACATGGCAGCTTAAGTTGTTATGTAACTTCATTAACTAGTTTTATTAGTAATGGGCTTAGCCCAATTTCCTTTAGTGATTCACATACATGGCATAGTAAGGCTTCTTAGGCTTGATTATTGTATAGCATGAAATTCACAAAGGTCTTACATGAGCCTATATGTGTTCACCCTATGTCTAGAAAAGGACAATTTGAATTCACTAACTTTTTTAGAAAATAGTATAATATAAATATAAATACACTTTGCAAAACTAATTTTAAATATAATTGAAATCCATTGCAACTACTTTTAGGTTTTCATCAAAGAGAGTTAATCCATGATATTCATTTTATCTGACAAAGAAATGGATTCTATCACTATAATCATCCGCTCAGATAATATCCAAAACTTTTCTAATTAAAGACAATTGACTAGTGGAGATGTGAGTAGTTCTAGCCCATTTGTAGGTTTATTAATCATCTCAAGAGAAGAGCTTGTAATAGGTTTATAAATAGTTGGCAATCATTGTATGGGAATCATATATGAGGAGTCAATTGCTGAGCACTGAGTGGAAATCCCATCACGAAAAGAGAAATTTGATTCATTAAAAGAACACATGAATAGTAAAATAACACCAATTGGTCAATCAAGGCATTTAACTTCTTTGTGAAATGGGTTGTAGTCCAAGAAGATGCACGGCTTTATGTGATATTCTAGATTGTCTAAGTTATTTTTCTTGTTACTCTGTTCTTATCTGTACGTATACAACCTGAATAAATACCGTACAGAGCATAAAATGAAACACATCAGAGAATTCTTCTCTTGAGTTCTTTCAATTTGCGAGGTGTTCGAGAGTTGCTGATATGGATAATACACATGTGCCATTGACAAATCAGTCAGTTTTACACCTTGCAGAATTGGGAAAATGAGAAATTTCCATGGCATGTAGTTTCTCCCCTCCATCTGATTGAGACCATATTTGTAATTAAGATTGCTATTATCAAAAACCAGAGAAGAAAATAGTGGTGAAGAGCCTTGCGATAAGACATTTGAATTTTCATAAGTGTTTGACATATTGTCGGTGATTGTAGGCTCTGGTATAATGAATATTAACCAAGAAGAATTCCGATCACACAATTAAATTAGTGATATCTAAGTGTATAGTTGTATAGAGTACAACAGTTTAAGAGTCAAGTGATCGTTGGACTTCTCATGATATGTATACAAAGGTATAGTTTAAGATTACAACAAGAATTTGAATTCTTCCTATTGCATGGTTGTGCTTGAGCCTGAGGAGGGTGATGCAACATTACTCTCAACAAACCCAACCCAAGCCATCCATTTACTACACCTATTTTGTCAACTTTTAATTTATTTCATCTAGATCCACTTTAGTATACTTTGCATGTAATTTGTGTATATTTTCCTTTATTAATTCTTATTTTGACATCCTTATAACCTGTGGAGATGATACTGATATATTTGCTTCTTAATTTACAGAAGAAAATCTTCAGACCAACTACTCTAGATTCGTAATATACTTGTGGATGTTCACATTGTTCGTTATTGTGGCAAGTTATAATGCAAACCTAACTTCCATCTTAACGGTGGACAACCTACGACCGTCCGTTACAAGTCTTGATCAATTGGTCAACGATGGAAGTTATGTTGGGTATCAAAAGGGGTCTTTTGTGTATGATCTGTTGAAGGAGAGATTCCCTAAAGAAAAGCTTATAAACCTTTCTACACCTACCGAATTTGCACAAGCTTTATCAAACAAAAGTGTTGCTGCAATTGTTGAAGAAGTCCCAGTTATTAATGTATTTCTAAAGATGTACTGCAACCAGTTCACCATAGCTGGACCGACTATTCAAACCGGAGGGTTTGGCTTTGTAAGTTTCTTTTCTCCCTTTTAAGCTAATATTTTAATTAATTTATATGTTTATTTTCATTTTGTGAACTGATATAATGGTAAATAGAAATTAATCTAACCAACATAAATTACTGAAAATAATTGTTTCGGTAATGACTATTAGAAATTAGTTATAATTTTGAGCGTGTTTCCTCATTAGGTAGTTAAAAGGAAATTAATAGAATTGTATATATATTTTGAGAAAAAAAAAGGTTTCTAACAGATAAGGGCAACTTTTTGCCCTGAATGTCAAATAAAGGATAATATTTTTATAAAATAACCAAAAAAAAGGTAATTTTTTTTTTTTTAAATATCAAGGAAGGGCAATGATACTGTTAGTCATCTTCCTCTTCCTCTTCCTCTGCCTCTGTGATCTCCTCTTCTGATGCTCAGCTTCAAAAACCGCTTATTGAATTAATGGCGGGTCTCGAGTCTGATATGATAGATAAAGCGGTTTTTGTGTCGAACATCCTAGTTTCTGTACCGGATGCAAAAAACGTAGAGGTAGAGATCGTGGAGGTAGGGACATGGCCGCCTAGTTGTTCTTAGTGGTAAGAGATAGAGAATCCGTAATGGTAAACCAGGTTCCCCGTACTAGTAGAGATACCTGCTTTGTTCTGAAGGAATCCCTAAGGTTCATTCGTTACGAGGAAATAGAGAACCTGGTTTTCCGTTACCGTTGTGGATACCTGGTTTACCGACGAAATCAAGTTCGCCCGTTACCTACTTTTGTCCATGCAAGAAAACACAGGTATCTCAACATTGCTCGTGTTGGTTTCATTCGTTTCTGGTTTATCGTTACTGATTTTCGGTTTTCCGTTCTCTTTATTATTTGGATTTCTAGCAGATAAGGCAGAGGAAGACAATGAACAATGTCACTGCCCTTTGATGTTTTTCAAAAAAAAAAAAAACTTTATTTTTATTATTTTATAAAATATTATCTTTATCGATATTCAGGCAAAAAGTTGCCCTTATCTGCTCAAGTGAAGGCTAACGAAGGTAGGGCTGCGGCTCTATGTCGGTTTTAAAGGTGTAAGGGAGAGAGAATTAGAGTTGAGAAGGGTGGTGGTTTGTGAAAAGGCAAATGGAATAATATCTGTCGAAGAGATATAGAGGAATATAGGAGGAGGAAACGTTAGAAGAGAGGTGAGAAGACTAGTAGGGGGAATGTTTTGTTTCTTCCTAGATTCAGAAGAAGGGGCGGTGAAATTGGTAAACTCAAGTCCTTCGAGATGCTTTGGATGCCAAAATTTCTCTTTAAAGATAGAACCCCGATCTTGAAAAGGGAAGAATATCTGATGGATATCAAAAGTGTAAAGTCTCCTGCTTCGGGCTTCCCCTGCATGCATGGAGCGGGAATGTGTTCAAGGAGATATGGGCAATCTATTGAGCGGATTCGTAGAGGTAGACCCATTAAACTTGAGATGGAGAGATTTGGAAGCAGTGCGGCTAACTATTTGGGCCCGAGCTCCAAAGGAGATCCTGAAAGCAATATCGATGGAGGTTCAAGGAAAGGTGTTTTTGGTAAGGGTAGTGGTCAAGCGGTCGGAGATGCTGGAAGGTAAGGGACTCCGGACGTTTAAAATGGTTGCTGCCAATTCAAAGTGGATGGAGACGACGCAGGTTTCAAGCAAGATGGTGGAGGAAAGAGGTAGGAAAACAGAGAGTTTGGGGGGAAACACGGGATAAATTGGGAAGGGAGGTGTTAGAGTGTTACTTTCTTGACGTGAAAGGGTTAAATGTCAAAAAGAAAAACAGCGAGAAACCAAGCAAAAGACAAATTTTGGAAAGTGGAGAGTGGTCGGAGAGAGTGAAGGTGATCGGAGAATGAGTGATGAACTAAAGGAGACGAATGGATAGGAACTGGTTCACAGTGGGGCCCACGCCCAACGATATGATTTCTAAGACCAAGGAGGCTCATGCGCGTAAGGTGGAAGTGGAATCCAGATCTATTGTAGTTTTGGGTGAGGAGAATAGTTTAAATTCTTCCGCCCGACCTATTTGGTTGTTGGTGGGTGGGAGGCGAGGATGTATGGGCCTGAGCCCAGTAATCAAATTAAAACTTCTGAAGCTAGCTAAAGTTTGGTTTTAATTTTCTGAACCTAACTAAAGTTTGGTTCCCATAGCCACTCTTTGGGAGTAGGGGTGGCAAATGGGTGGATTGGGTTGGGTAAGGGTTGAATATTAACCCATCAATCCATCATGATTCATTATCGGTTCTTGTTAAAGGGTCATAACCCACCCATATTGACCCACTTAACCCATCCATATTGACCTTCGTTTGCTGGAGCCGCTCGATCTAGYGCGCGCAGTAGTTTTTCATCATGCGCGCGGCTCGCTTCGCTTTTRTTGCTCCGCCCCTACTAGTAAAGTAAAGGGCTTTTCGTCGTAGCTTGCGGAAGCCATCGCGAAAGATTCAATCCAGCCACAGGTTCCCCTACGGCTACCTTGTTACGAATTCACCCCAGTCGAAGACCCTACCGTGGTATGGGTGATCATTGGTCCGATGCTTCAGGCGATACCAATTCCCAGGGTGTGACGGGCGGTGTGTACAGGGCCCGGGTACATATTCACYGCGGCATGCTGATCCGCGATTACTAGCGATTCCAACTTTATGTTCCCGAGTTGTAGAGAACAATCCGAACTGAGGCAATCTTTCCGGATTCGCTCCGCCTTACAGCCTTGCTTCCCATTGTAWTTGCCATTGTAGCACGTGTGTGGCCCAGCCCATAAGGGCCATGCAAAAATAACAAATTTTTGAGAAGACATTTCCCAAGACTACCACATGGCAAAAATGGGTCGAGACAACCCGTATATCCGAAAATAACAATTTTTGAGAGAATAATAATCTCTATCAAGGATGTCATGTGAAAGAATCGGGCCAGGTCGACCCATATATCTAGAAAAACATTTTTGAGAAATTATCTCTCTTATGACTGCCACGTGACAAAAATTGGTTGGGTTGGCAAACAAAGATCTGAATTATGCTTTACAAATTCAAGGAGAAATTTTGAGCAAGGATGGAGGAGATAACTCAGGGTACATCAGTAGAGAGGAACTAGAACGTGTAAGGTCGACGAGACTAGTGAGAGGAGAAGAAGGTAAGGTCGACAAGATTGCTGAGAGGAAAGGAAGTGATTCTAAAAGGGGAACCTCAGAATCCTTTGGAAGAGCAGACAATGCTTTTAACGGAAGCTACTGAGCTTGTTAAGGAAGTAGGGTTGGTGGAGGAAAGCTCTGATGTGGAAGGTGATGAGAGTCCAATATGGATGCACATAGGAGTGGGAAAAAGGCACAGAAATAGCAAGGAATTTAGGATTATTTTTCCTAAGGGGATAAGAAAATGCGAAGAACATTTTCAAAAGTTTGGAAGAGGAAGAAAGAGATTTGAGGGAGGAAGGCAAAGAAGATAATGGCTCTCTGAAATATGTGAAGGAAAGTTTTAATTATGAAGGTTTATCGAGAAGTAGAAAATTATGAAGACTCATGGAGTTGTATTTAGACTACTCAGTGCAAGTAGTTAAAGAACTGAGAAATTGTAGTTCTAGGGGAAGGGGAAGGAGAGGAAGAGGATTGTAGGGAGTTTTAAAGATCTTTGTAAGGGAGTGTTTTTGGAAAGGTCTATTTTGCTTGTTTTATTATTTTGGGTGGTTGATGGTAAGGGTGCAGTTTTTTGGGTAGAGTCTCGGTGGGTAGGCATTTTTGGTGTCTTTGTTTTGGTGGGTAGGCATTTTTGCTGTATTTGTTTTGGTTCAGGGTAATTTTGGTTATACCCTTTGTAAATCATACCTTTTTCTTTTGTAAATTTTTTATATTTATCTTCAAAAAAAAGTATATGGATATCGATGCTATCTTAACTGAGGTGGATGAGCAATACATAATGTCTTACTAAGCTAGATGAGATGAGGTGGTTCCAACAACCTAAAAAATCGAATTCAAAGGCCCCGAGGTGGTTCCCTAGGGAGAACAAGCTGGGTGTAGCTGAGTAGAGCAGAAGAGATTGAGAGAGCAAGAAAGCTATAGAGCAAATGCACCAAGGGTGGAAGTAGAGAGACATTTATGAAAAATAAAAACATTATATTTGATATCATAGCATAAATCCATGTGAAACGAGAAAAACCATCTATAAACACAACATAATAGTGATATCCATGTATAGAGGTAATAGGGGAGGATCCCAAACATGAGGTAATAGGCTGATACACATCGGCCTATATCAAGACTCATTTGTTCCTTTTTTATAGTTTCTTTTCTCAATCTGGTTCAAAGGAGTTTGTTTAAGGCCAATCTAGCCTCTGAACCATGGTCTGAACCGAAATACCCCTGTAGGGGCATATCAGGAAGCCCCCTATGCTTTGATACATATTGAAATTTTGAACCTTATGTGCATCTTTATCTCCAACAACACCCGACAGATGTGTTAGACAATGTCTGCCCTTAGTTCCAATCATATTGATGTACATAGACATTTCGATATGATTAATATAAATATATTATTGTTTTATGATCAATTGGTGTATTTTTGTAAATTATTTCTTAAATTGAACACTTATAAGACTTGTGTTAGTTTAAATGCTTTTAGCTATTGGATAAACTTGAGGAGTTTATCCTAACACGGTTGACACTAATATCCTGCAAAATTAGTGGAGCAACTTGTCTCACCTACTTGGGTTAGACCATGTGGATAATTAATGTGTGTTTAGAAGAAATGTTAAACTTTGAGTAATTTCTAGTTATGCCCTAGACCTTGAAATCTGATGGAAAAAATTGAGAAGTTTCACTTAACCATAAACTTGACTATGATACTATACAAGATATTGGATTGAGTTGATTTTGATATAACAATCAGTGAGATTCATGAATGATCAAATAAATAGGCATGTTGGAATAGTTTAGGAATTTACCTAAATGGGTGATTATAATGATAGGATTGACCCATTTGTCAAAGTGAATATCAGGATTTACACTATTTCTGATGGA